CAACAAGTCTGTGGTATGTACTATAGGCCGACCTCTTAAGCACTTGACTAAAGATTGATTGATATTGAATGTGACCCATGTCGAAATTGTGCAAGAGCAACTCTAAATTAGGAAATCTTGATAACATTCAAGTGTTGCTCAATATCGAAAGAATGTATACGCAGTTTATTACTTTCTTTCGGGCAATTTGGCAGTCCTTGCGAGTTGAAGTTGTTGCATCACTAATTTGTTTGGGGTTACACTTTACCCTAATAACAAGGAGACAAGGTCTCTATTTCACATATCATCTAGGCCTAGTCGGAACATACGTGGCAAACGTAGAGTAAGTCCTTCAGTGAAATATAGTATTGCTATTTTTGCAAGAGTAGCATAAAATTAACATTTGAATGTTGATAAAATGTACGTACGTGTTATCATCATGATAACACATTACCGGACAATCCAAATGTGGGTTTGACTGTTGCACGCAATGACACACATTTCAAAATATGAAATAGAGTAAAATGGAATTAAACATTGTTAAACCAATTATTGAAGTTATTGCAGTTAGTTAACATGGTATCAATAAAGTTAGAAATAAGAAAAGAAATATGTAAAGCATTTCCTTGTTGAACATGTGGATGACAGTACTAAGTAATTCGTCAATCACAATTAATATTATTAGAAGTTACCAATTATACTTTAATAATTATAACCGAGCTGAAAAGTATTGGTGTAGCATTTTAATGATGCAAGAAACAGGATGAGTTAAAAAGTAATAGAAGGTGGGTTTCTACAATTCAGCATATGTTACTGTTTGTTTACTGGCTTTAGCAACAGATTGGCAATGTTACTTTCTCAGATTGGAATCTTGTTGTGGACAGGATTGGCATACCTGCCTGAAAGAAAGTAATAAACTGCGTATACATTCTTTCGATATTGAGCAACACTTGAATGTTATCAAGATTTCCTAATTAAGAGTTGCTCTTGCACAATTTCGACATGGATCACATTCAATATCAATCAATCTTTAGTCAAGTGCTTAAGAGGTCGGCCTATAGTACATATCACAGACGTGTTGCACACATATTTAACTTCTTTACAAATTCGGTTCAATATTACGTGTTCTACGTTGTTTGGTATCTAGACTGTTTAACATATGTCAAAATTTCAATATTTGGATCAAATAAAATACAGGAATGTATGTTGTTCCTCCCTGTGGTGTACATGGAAATACAAATAAAAAGTGATATTCATCCTCGATAGCTTGCATATTACACATGTTGCATATTTTGTTTACCTTGGAGTTTGTTTATATCTCCCACTCGCGATGCATAGATCATGCAATGAACATCTTGCCAATGACTTACAATATTTCTTTAAATTTGCATCAAACAGATACTGATCACAGTATATATGAGTTTTCAACATTCTATAATATAAACAATTGTTGGATAATGTCAACGAAAATGTCCCCGATTGTAGATAAATATATTTTATCCTCTGTAGAAAAGAATTGAAAATACGTTATCAGATGGTACGTATTGTTCATACAAAACCTTTCTAAAGCCCATATTACATAACATTTTTTCAGTTATGTAGTTATGTATTTCCATTCGTATCATATAACATCATTGTGTTCCCACATTTCTTGGGGTATCGCGATGAATTAACATTAACTATTGTGTATCAGCGTGGTTGAAATGTCGTACAGTGAAGCTAAGGCGGTGTCTGGTGACCTCGTCGTATCCTTATATACACATAGATAACACCGCGCCAGGGACACAGGACACAACACTATATGCTAATCTCTTGTCGAAGTTGTTTGTCAAGCAGGATCTAATATCGGGACTGTGTGAAATGTTATATTCGGGCAATTCGCTGTGCAGAGTTTCTTGGTCAGACTAGAAACCAATGATTGTGGGTTCGAATCCCGGTTCGCCCCGATTATATTTCTAGGTTTGTCAGCACCATACCCGTGCTCGTGGGTTTCACCAAAGTGGTAAACGTCTGAGACATGCATCACTTTGGGCTTTCCTCCTACATTAAGCTGACACGCCGTGATATTACTGGAATACTGTTAAAAGTTGGCGTTAAATGTTTCTGGAAACCCATTTGACCAGACAATGTCCTCTGTGGTCGGTGGCATTAACACATTTCAACATGTAGTTTCCATTGGTGCATTTTTTCTAATAGCGTCGACCGAGACGGTTCGCAAGTAGGAGAGTTTCGAGACGAATGATCTTTTTTTCCCAGAATTAAAATGGCACATGTTGATAGTATTGCGATAGCATGATAGCCGCCTTATTTTCCAACAGTCCAGATTTCGTAACATGTCTATTTTCTGGGTTCAGTAGATTTCATGTCGTCTCCTGCCCCACCGGTGGCACTCGTCACAAACACATGCAAAGGAAAGGCAACAGTTCACCTGGAAAAAAACGGGAACAGATGGTAAAAATCAAAATATGGAATTGTATTGGACATCATTTTCATCACTGATACGTCACACTTGGAAATGTCCTCCATATCTACCATGAAGCTTTTGAAAGCTTTACTGAGGCCTTGAATGTTGTAACTCTGATGAAACATCTTTCGAGCAAGAGCAGTATGACGCTCTTTGAAATCTTGGTAGAAAGAGCATCCTCGATTTTCCTTGGAATGTAAACACCATAGGCTAGAGCAACTTGAATATTGCTCGTCATAAAGGGAATGTTGACTGTTGGGAAGTTGAAGTCATCCTTCTTGTCATGCAGACTTGTGGCTAGACCAGAAGCCTCGGTTAAACTTCTTGGTCAAATTGCCTTGGTTTGATTTTGTCAATCCGAAAAGTTCCTATTCATATTTATAAAGAAGCAGATAAGCAAGAACTTAAGCACCATTGGTGCCAATTGGGATGCCATTTTTTCCCTAAATGTCTTACCCCATAATTCCAGAGATGTTTTTACTTAGGATTAATTTTCACAACTACTTTGCCCTTTACGCCAAATGAAATCTGTTTCAGCGGATAATCAAGACTGGTTATTATCTTGCATTGACGTGTCATATTTTCAGTACACTTGTCATGGCATTTCCCTCAATCTTTTACAAATTGTCCTGAACCTTTGAAAATAGAGATGTAATATGTCTGTGGTCATCACGTTTAGTGACACATGCCCCATGGATCAAGGAATGAAGTTTTCCTTAAGTGTGTCGTGTGGGATAGTGGTTTACAAATTTGAAAAAAATCATCACATTATTGAACTGGGTTCTTTTCTGAGGTTGCAAAACTTCAAGCAAATCCTTTGAATTTTGGAGAATCTCCATGATATTAATTACATTTGTTTATACACAAAGACAGACACAAAGAAAACCGTGGACACACTCAAGCTGACTACCCAAATTTCCCTGGGGTTAAATGAACGAGCATGCAATATAGGGATGCAATGCGTTGAATCGTTCTTATAAATGTCGGTACTATATTTATGTTCTTGTTGTTAAGGGGGCACGGGTGGCCCAGTCGTCTAAGGCGCCGCGATTCGCTGTGCAGAGTTGCGTCCCTTGGGCACGCCAGAAACCTATGATTGTGGGTTCGAATCCCGGTTCGCCCCGATTATGTTTCTAGGTTTGTCAGCACCATACCCGTGCTCGTGGGTTTCACCGAAGTGGTAAACGTCTGAGACCTGCATCACTTCGGGCTTTCCTCCCACATTAAGCTGACACGCCGCGATATGACTGGAATACTGTTAAAAGCGGCGTTAAATCCAACTCACTCACTCACTCACTCTTGTTGTTAAAGCTGTTAACAAGATACAGCGTGTAGGGAGACCTGGCTCGAGTCAGTTGGCAATTCAGCAATTTTGATAAAAGTCAATGAAAATCTAATTTTATTGTGTATCATTATCTATGTAGCAATTAATGAATACGCTGATTACATACGGACACTCTTAGGCGCAAACTTAGGCCACTCATTACAACGTCAAGACAGACAAGACCGCAATTTGTTGAGCATTACAGTAACAAACTCAAAGGGACCACTAATTTTAGTTCGTAATAACCGTAGTTCGTTATAAGCATATTTACAGCATATATACAACAAATGTCCGAGACTAAAAAAATGATTTCGTTATATAGGTCAGTTCGATATAAGCGTGTTCGTTATAAACGTAGTTAACTGTAATTTTCTTGTGTATATTGCTGTTACGAATACGGAAAGTAAACAAGGATAAAACAAAATAATTCATCTATTAAGGTTCAGTTATCAATGTGCGCATCTATTTATTATTATTATGATTCTAGGTACATATGACCATGTTCTGGTATGACAAATAATGCACAATATTGCGCAAAGTGTTTCATTTCATTCTTTTTCTTAGAGACCGCCTCCGTGGTCTAGTGGTAGAGCGTCAGCCCGGAGAGCGGCGCTCGGCATTAAAGGGCTAAAACAAGGACTGGTCGGCTGGGAGTCAGTATACTGTGTCTGAGTGGGGTATTCATGTTAAACTGCGGCATGGTATCTCAGTGGGCTAGCACTATAAATCGGCATCAGTTCGGACTAGTACAAGCAGCCACACACACACGTGCATGCACGTCGCTATATAAGTGCAATAATCTTGGACGCGACGTTAAACCCAATTTCACCTCACCTCACCTCACCTCACCTCACCTCACCTCACCTCACCTCACCTCTTTTTCTTAGAAGTGATCGGACTTCGATCTTCAGTGAGATTACGGTCAATACCCTATACAGCGGCGACATTCTCAAAGGAGACTATTTTTATGACCGGGGAGAAATTATTACTCTCCTAAACGTGTCTGATATACTCTATTTGTGTCATGCAGGCTGTAAAGCATTCCCTCGGCCCCTGACACCCCTCCCGCTCCAACCCTACCCACCCCCTAACACAACACCCCAAGCTTTGAAGACAATGTATATTTCAAAAGTGATTGGTCATTATATACGCTCGTGACTAGTGTTATGTTGCCAAGCACCACCAATACACACCAACACACATCCGGCTTCTTATCAGACACTAGGTCAGAGGGTTCGTGACAGAAATAATGGACCTTTGCTAGTCGCAAGGTTGAGAATGTCACAAGTCGGAATACGGATCCCACAGGAACCCTATGTTTGAGATTTGTTGCCCTAAACAACCATGTAAACAATGCGTAATCAAGTTTAGTTTTTAACGCACAAGCCACGCTCGGTGTTGATTTACGATAAGAGATAAGTAATTCACATTTGGTTTCATAATAACCTCCCAAGCCAACCTTGCGTCTGAGGCTCGCTTTGACCAAAAGAAGTGAGTATGCTTCTATTTTAAATATAATTATTAAATAATGTTCCAACAATATCCAATGGAACACCGAGAACGTTCTTCACTCAATATATGTATGTGCTGAATCTAATCAAATCGAAGAACAAACGCTTTAACAATTAACCTCCCCAACTGCTTTCTTAGCATTTCAGTTGCCTTAGAAATAGAAGGGGCGGTCGGGTAGCCTTGTGGTTAAAGCGTTCGCTCGTCACGTCGAAGACCCGGATTCGATTCCTGAGATCACTCACTCACTCACTCACTCACTCACTCACTCACTCACTCACTCACTAGAAATAGAAACATAAAACGTCAGCGCGGAAGATTTAACAGTTTCGATAAATGCTGTAAGAATGAGTGAGTGAGTGAGTTTGGTTTTACGCCGCTTTTAGCAATATTCCAGCAATATCACGGCGGGGGACACCAGAAATGGGCTTCACACATTGTACCAATGTCGGGATTCGAACCCGGGTCTTCGGCGTGACGAGCGAACGTTTTAACTACTAGGCTAACCGACCGCCCCTAAATGCTGTAAGAGATTCCATTGGGCGAAAATAGCAAAATAACCGTGAAAATTATATAAATGGGTCATTGAAAATCAGTGATGACACCTGGTGTTCGCAAAAAGTTTTATTCGGTAAATATTCTCAGCGTAGGACGAACCTGACTTGTAAATTTACAATCTACAAGGATAATAAGCACGCATTTTATTTGTAGACAATAAATCGAAATATTTATGAAATGTTAAAATTGGTTTCTGTATTATCGCAACGCAACCCAAGTTTTTTCGAACACACCGATTTTCAAATATTTGATTTACAGAATCAAAGTATTACAGAAAGTTAGTGTTGACGTCATCATTTCGAAGGTACGTAATTCCCATACTCCTTTTAACCAGGGCTGCTGAGAAATTGAGTCAGTGAAATAATAAAAATAATATATCAGAGAGACGACCTCCGTCATACAGTTGAGAACGTGGTGATTCTATACATTCTGTATTCATCAAAATGAGACCTGTGATATATATCATTGTATGTTACACGTGTACGTATGCATCCCAACAGGCAACAGTATAAACACATCCTTGTTTCTTTCAGATCTGGCAGAACTAGGATATTCAAGCTGCCAATGTGGCCAATCAGCTGATGGCTTACATTCAGAGTAGCATCCTACCCGTGGTATGTATCCATGTTATGGGCCGAATGGTGCGATGGACTCCTCGGCAGGTGCTGGGGACCGTGGGACTGACGTTGTTCATGACGTGGTTTCTGCTGGCAATTACAGTGAAGAACACAACACCAACAGCCACGTACCATCCAGGAACACCCACTAAAGACATTGTGGAGTTCTTCCATATACAAAGAGACCAATACTTTAATCTTCATCAGTATTCCTTTTCGATAAACAGTCGCCAATGCGAACGCGATGACACTGATGTTTTGATAATCGTCCATTCCAAGCCGGACTTCTTCGAGAAAAGAATGGTCATCCGGGAAACGTTCGGCTCAGCGAATCGTGTAGATGACACACCGCTTTCTATAGTGTTTATGTTAGGAAGGGTAACTAACCACACCCTACAAGAGCAACTCCAGCAAGAAGCCTACGACTATGGCGACATGGTCCAAGGGAACTTCATCGACCACTACAAGAATATGACCCACAAACACGTGATGGCGATGCATTGGGTGGGAGGACACTGCAACCGCGCCAAGGTCATTGTCAAGATAGACGATGACGTCATCGTCAACCCATACAATCTCGTCCACTACATCAAGAGGACATCAAAACATCATAATACTATTCATGGTATTGTCTTAAACAGCGAACAACCTTTCAGAAACCCCCAAGCAAAGTATTACATCCCGTATGCGCAGTACCCATTTGACACACTTCCGGAATACTGCCCGGGGTTTGCTTATATCACAACGCCTGATGTGTACCGGAAGTTACACGAGGTATCACGTGACGTTCGGTATCTCAATATGGACGACGTGTATGTAACAGGTGTTCTTGCTCTGAAAGCAGGTGTGAACAAAATTGGCATTGAGAAGATGATGTTTGATTGTGGGCGTTCGAAACGGAAGTTGTATTCGCTAAGTTCCTATATATTCGTGCTTAACGAGGATGGTGCCTGCAAACTTGATCCCCACGTGCTATGGAGTGACGTCAAAGAGAAGTGATTGTTACTCATGTTATTTGACTGATTTAAATTGTGTCAATTGACCGAGAAGTTCTCGCGATGACTCAGTTTAAACTCATGTTGAAAGGTTAACTGCAATCTCTTCTGTGTTCATATATCTTATTGTATGTGTTCTATCGTCTTGTCGTTTGTATAATTTATCATTTGTGTGTTTTCATATGTATGGTATATTTTCTGTCGAGTGTTTCTTTCTGTTTTGTGATTTGACATCAAGTAAACAATGGCAACTGAGGTTTCAAGAACGCCACAGTAGATCTCGGAAACTACGTCCACATGAATTGTAAAATATATGTATAATCATTATGTTCAGGGGAAACATGTTCAACACTCTTGCCAAATTACGTGGGTAATTTCAATTTAAACAAAGGACTGACACTGACCCTGACCCTGACCCTGACCCTGACGAGGAGATTTGAGTTCGTATCTTTTGTATGCTTCATTATTTCTTCTGTCTCAAGGGTGTAGGAATTACCATATGTTGATGATCTGCTCCTAAGCGAGAGCTCTGAGCGTAAACCTCTTGTAAATGCATGGAAGACGGCCCCTCTGTGTCACAACAAATTAAGTACGTCCTCTCCGTAAAAACCTGTCTCAAATCCTTAACAAGATATTTATTTGTGTTTCTATGAACGGGAACAATTTAAAATTATATATAATTTGAAACCGCTGTTTGAGCTATTGTTCCATCAGAAAATGTTAATTTGACACTAGCAAGAAAATATGTCGTCTTTTTTTCATTTAAGCTCCCATATCCCACATCCATCCGTCAAGAAAGGGGGTAATTCGCGGTCGTCATCCGACTAATCTTTTTTATCTCATAATATCATTCACAAAAAAAAGAACATTAATTTTGTTGTCGCCATTGTTATATTTTATATGCCGTCACTGGCTATGATGAATATTGTTCCATTATCATTAGTATTTAAGACTTAGGAAGTATGGGTTTCAAATCTCTAGCTATGACGTAGCAGTATCGTGACTGACGTGAATTATTCAAGGGGGTCGTAATCAATTACTATCAAACAGACGTTCATACATACAGATAAAAATGATCCTATCCCTGTCAACTTGTAGATATAGGTAGAACTTCCTCGTGTCGAGGATCTCCACGACAGGTAGGCCACGACAAGTAGATAGTTGTTTCCGGATTTTCATCCATTTGATTACAAATCAGTAAATTACTTTTTATTGTATTTTTTTCTAATGACAGGGTTTACACTGTTGCCCATTATAAAAGAATCTCTGCTAAAAGCAGACGTCATGCCTTTGTGTAAAATTTATACATTATTTCTAAAAGCAATAGTCATACCTTGTAAATTAATACATAACTTCTAAAAGCAAAAGTCATACCTTTGTAAATTAATACATAACTTCTCAAAGAAAAAGTCATACCTTTGTAAATTAATACATAACTTCTCAAAGAAAAAGTCATACCTTTGTAAATTAATACATAACTTCTCAAAGCAAAAGTCATACCTTTGTAAATTAATACAGAACTTCTCAAAGCAAAAGTCATACCTTTGTGTAATTAATACTTTATTCCTGTCATTTTTATATTGATCACTAAACGTAAGTAACAGACGGGTAAAGCCTTGTTTGTATAGTGGAATTCAACCTCGCTAAGACTGCCCATTGAATCCAGCCACAAACGTACAGTCGCATTTGTGGTGGCCTTACCCGATTTTCATTGATCCTAGTTGATAAATACACACGACACAGGCGGGATTGAAAATGCAATCTGTTGTATTTACCCTTGTATCAGTGTGCTCTGTCCATGTCAAGAGGGCTAGACGCCGTGTGTGGGTGCTTCAGTCACATAATCCATAACCCACTGCTAGCATTCCTGTTTCGTCAGTCTAATAACAAACTTTTGAGAAGGAAATAAATTATTCCCAAAAAGTTGAGAATGCAACTGAAAAATCTGCTCTCCGGGGAATTAGCACTCATTTGATGATTGGATAAGAGGCGATTTGTACCATGTCTTGGAAATGATGGAAATTATATACTTCTTGGGGAATAAATGTATATCTTGATACATAATGTACATGCTTTTCTTACAGAGTAATATAATTTGAGTGGACGGTGTACTTGTGGAAAGGATGTTCTGGCAATGATATAGTTCTTGTGGCATAATGTATGGGAGAATGGTGTACTTCTATGATGTTATGGAGACAATGAAGGCTTCGAGAAGAACATGCAAGTTCGACATTGACGAGCCTGTTTTCACTATGTCGAAGTAAACGGTGTTATATACAAGAACGTACCAGCTAGACCTGTTTCAGTAGTCGAATTCTTATGACTGAAATTAATACTTCAAACTGTTCATGAAATAGAAAATCTAAAAGAAATCCCATATGTTAGCGGCGATTATTCTCCTACACAAAAAGGGCGGTTCCATCATTTTGCAATAGGTACGAATAAGATAGTAAAATCATGCTGGCCTTGATCAAATGTATCCTACTAGCTATGCCATTTCCCATGTAGCCTACTGGTTATATAACTGCCCATTCTGGCCTACATTTTGGGTGATTGTCCATTTGGGGTAGTGATTATTGAGTTCTTGTCCATGTGGCATACTGATTTCAATATGGGCGTCATATAACTGTCAACGTGTTCTACTGGTTATATGATTGTCCATGTGGCCTACTGGTAAGTTGACTGTCCACGTGGCCTACTGGTTTATATGATTATCCACGTGGCCTACTGGTTATATGATTGTTAATGTGACAAACTGTTTATATAACTGTCCATGTGGCCTACTGGATAGATGATTGTCCATGTGGCCTACTGGGTAGTTGACTGTCCACGTGGCCTACCGGTGATGAGATTGTCCATGTGGCCTACTGGTTATATTATTGCCCATGTGATCAACTTGTGATGAGATTTTCTATCTGACCTATTGGTTTATATGATTGTCCTACTGTTTTTCATAACTGTCCATGTAATCTACTGGTTATATGATTGTCCGTGTGGCCTACTGGTGATGATATTGTCCATGTGGCCTACTGGATATATTATTGTCCATGTGATCTACTTGTGATGAGATTTTGTATCTGACCTATTGGTTATATGATTGTCTTACTGTCTGTTTTCATAACTGTCAATGTAATCTACTGATTATATGATTGTCCGTGTGACCTACAGGTTATATAATTGTCCGCGTGGCCTACTGGTTATGTAAGCGTCCATGTGGCCTACTGGTTGTATGATTCTCCATGTGGCCTACTGGTTATATGACTGTCCATGTGTTCTACTGGTAATATGATTGTCCATGTGGCCTACTGGTGATGAGATTGTCCATATAGCCTACAGGTTATATAATTGTCCGCGTGGCCCACTGGTAATATAATTGTCCATGTGGCCTACTGGTGATGAGATTTACCATGTGGCCTACTGGTGATGAGATTGACTTATTAGTTATATAACTGTCCAAATGGCCTACTGGTTATATAACTGTCCAAATGGCCTACTGGTTATATAACTGTCCAAATGGCCTACTGGTGATGAGATTGACCATGTGGCCTACTGGTTATATGACTGTCCAAATGGCCTACTGGTTATATAACTGTCTTGGTGAGCCTACTGGTGATGAGAATGACCATGTTGCCTACTGGTTATATGACTTTCCAAGTGGCCAACTGGTGATGAGATTGTCCAAATGGCCAACTGGTGATGAGATTGACCATGTGGCCAACTGGTTATATGACCGTCTATGTGGCCTACTGGTTATATGACCGTCTATGTGGCCTACTGGTTATATGACTTTCCAAGTGATTTACTGGTTATATGACCGTCTATGTGGCCTACTGGTTATATGACTTTCCAAGTGACTTACTGGTTATATGACCGTCTATGTGGCCTACTGGTTATATGACTTTCCAAGTGATTTACTGGTTATATGACCGTCTATGTGGCCTACTGGTTATATGACTTTCCAAGTGGCTTACTGGTTATATGACCGTCTATGTGGCCTACTGGTTATATGACGTTCCAAGTGACTTACTGGTTATATGACCGTCTATGTGGCCTACTGGTTATATCACTTTCCAAGTGACTTACTGGTTATATGACCGTCTATGTGGCCTACTGGTTATATGACTTTCCAAGTGACTTACTGGTTATATGACCGTCTATGTGGCCTACTGGTTATATGACCGTCTATGTGGCCTACTGGTTATATGACCGTCTATAAGGCCTACTGGTTATATGAGTGTCTATGTGGCCCACTGGTTATATGATTGTCTATGTGGCCTACTGGTTATATGATTGTCTATGTGGCCTACTGGGTATATGACCGTCTATGTTGCCTACTGGTTATATGACCGTCTATGTGGCCTACTGGTTATATGATTGTCTATGTGGCCCACTGGTTATATGATTGTCTATGTGGCCTACTGGTTATATGACCGTCTATGTGGCCTACTGGTTATATGACTGTCCAAGTGGTCTACTGGTTATATAACTGTCTTGGTGAGCCTACTGGTGATGAGAATGACCATGATGAAATATATTGCCTAATTGGGATACGGGGATTTCTAGGGGAAAGCGGTTGGTAGGGGTTCAGACACATTCAATCGAAACATAATCGGTTTGTTTTTTTGGCTTTCGTAAAAGGTATTCCATTTCATTTTAAAGAGTAAAAGAAACGTTGCATCCATGTTATTTGTCTTAAGAATTTTATTTTAATCAATTTGTCCAAATCACTCCAGACGCATTGGATTCTTCTTGGACAAATCGACGACCGGACAACCTTGAAATATATATAAGAGCTCATTGTATCAATGCATTTTTATACGTAGTTTTTTCCGTTTTCACAGTGATGTGTATTGTAAACCTGTCATTTAAAACCGAGATTATACAGAGAAATAAAATTGATATCTTAACAAATTGTAACAGTTATTATCATTTTTATTTTATATAAATTTACCTCACGGGATGAAACTACACAGCAATGGAAGGACGTCTTTTGAAGGGTTTCCAGGATTTATATAGTTTCGTAAAAATATAAGATCATTAATCGACCACTTGTCAATAGGACTTTTCTGTTTGCGTTATAACTAATTTGGCGTTATAATGAGGTGAAAAAGTTCAATAGTTATATGAGGCAAGGTAAATACGGCCTCCGTGTCTTTTAATATCAAATATTTCAGGATGAGTCGATAACTTTGTATCGAGGCGAGGACTTAATATCTTTTATCGACGCGTAAGAATTATATATTCAATATCAAATTGTGTGTGTGTGTGTGTGTGTGTGTGTGTGTGTGTGTGTGTGTGTGTGTGTGTGTGTGTGTGTGTGTGTGTGTGTGTGTGTGTGTGTGTGTGTGTCCGGACTGATGCCGATTTATAATGCTAGCTCACTGAGATAGCATGCCGCAGTTTACGCAGTTTAACATGAATACCCCACCTCAGGCACATTATACTCCTAGCCGACCAGTCCTCGTTTTAGCCCCTTAATGCCGAGCGCCAGACAGGGTAACAACAAGTACCATCTTTTAACGTCTTTTGGTATGACGCGGTCGGGGATCGAACCCCGGACCTTCCGCTCTCCGGGTGGACGCTCTACCACTAGACCACGCTCTACCACTAGACCACGGAGGCGGTTGAACATCAATGAACACAGACGAGATACACATTGATGTTGAGCTTAATATGTAACATGAACAGTTCATGTTTGTTCAAGACTATTACACTTCTTGTGGTGTTCTAAGTTTAACTGCATAACTAAAATTTTAAACTTCAACAAGTTATTTACTGCAACTGATCATGACTGACGAAAGAAGTCCCTAATGAGATCCATCTGTTCAACCAATCAGAAGCTTGCATTTTACCTGTCCGCCATCAAAGTTGGGAGAAAAACATCCTGCGAAGAATATCTCCCGTGGAAATCAATATTGGTGATAAAGTCAAATATCAGCACTGCATAATCAAATGTTATTCAACACAAACAAGTGTTTGTTTGTTTGTTGTTTAACGCCGTACTCAGCAACAGTCCAGCTATATGACGACGGTCTGTAAATAATCGAGTCCGGACAAGACAATCCAGTGATCACGAGCATCGATCTAAGCAATTGGGTTACAATGACATGCACCAACCAAGTCACAATGACGTATGCATATATACTAACCAAGATGTTAAGAAATATTTTATCTTGAAAACAATTAACTGTATCATATTAACAATTTTCCAGTCTATTAAAGAAGTTGTTATCCATATATTCGTCAACTTCTAAGAGATGCCTGTGAAACAATGAGTTTGAATTCAACAGTATGTAAAGAGATGAAAATCATTATTACAAGCAGAAGGCCTCAAAAATCAGTCTCGCCTGACCGTTATATTCCTACCCTTAGCCTTTTAACACAAGGGGCGGTCGGGTAGCCTTGTGGTTAAAGCGTTCGCTCGTCACGCTGAAGACCCGGGTTCGATTCCCGACATGGGTACAATGTGTGAAGCCCATTTCTGGTGTCCCCCGCCGTGATATTGCTGGAATATTGCTAAAAGCGGCGTAAAACCATACTCACTCACACACTCACTCACTCACTTTTAACACAACTGTAGGTTCATTTTCCTGCCAGCTATAATGCGAAGTAGCATATTTTATGTAAGCAGTGTTTGTCATACTACAATATACCATTAAAATACGCACATTTGTTTTTGAAAATAGAGTGAGACTATGCCGTATATTTACTCCATGATACGGAAGCCTTTAAGGGACATTTGTTTTTTTCTTGAAATTTCAAGATAGTAAGTTTAAATTTCAAGATACGAAGTTGAAATTACAAGATACGTCTCAAGTACAAAATGAACCTATTATCTTGATATTTCAAGATAATTACTTTGAAACTTTGTATGTATCTTGAAATTTCAACGAAGCATCTTGAAATTTCAACCTACTATAACTTTCAACTTAGCATCTTGAAATTTCAAGAAAGATTTTTTTTTTAAATAGGCCTAAAAGGCTTCCGTACTGTGAGCCCCATAACAATAATATCCTCACGTCGACTCGAACAAGTCTGCGCCCTAATATAACCCTGCTACACAAATTAACACCAATAGGACAGAATACTCTCATTTTCTCGCGAACACCTGGTATCATTACTTTTTTATAGTGATTCATAAACACATACATGTACGTATGATATCACAATGGACTTAGCTTTCAGTGGAGATTTCTTATGATTATAGAAATGTTTCTTGTGCTTTTTTCATTTCGGGAAAAGTGACGACAACATAGAGGTGTACAACTCAAACACGATATATACTGAAGAAAACAATTACGGATTGTGAATATTTTGGGGAATATTTGTTTGTAGTGAAGACTGAGAACACGTTTAGAAACAAAAAACAATTTATTCAAACCAATTATCATGATCCCTAACCTTTTCGATCGGTATATGTTGAAGATCGAGAAGGTGGATATGACAGATGTCCATTGTTCGCTAGATGCTCTTATCAGTATCAGTAACAAAGGTTGTTAAATGAAGCCAGAGCAACGTGAAGCGTACACGGGTCAAGTGGCGTTACATTCTTGAGTATGGCGTGTCGTTTCGCTTATCTTTGGTTAAATGTAAGTGGTAAATGGCCGTAGTTTATTAAGTGGTTTGTCATTAGCATATCAAGTAAACACGCCACGCTTGAAACACGTTTACTTTCACAACGAACACGGGGATTTGACCAACATTCTCATGTGGAAACGTCGCCCTTCCCGAGGTCAGGAGTCTTCGTGTGATAATTAGGAGCTGGCTGTCATGTGAGGCAGGTATGTACGCTTGTATTTCCCTGCAATCATCTCCATAGTGAATACTTGAACTATACGGTCGCCCAAAGCCCATTGGTTAAAAAAAAACACAAAGGGTTATTTCAGTATATTCGCTTTAAGGCTAAAGGCCATCCATATTCATGTGTGTTTCTATTTTCGCAAATTGTGTTAATAGGGCTACCGGTAGGACAGGACATGCTTACCCTTTTCGCGAACACCTGGTGTCATCACTGATTTTCAGTGATCCATTCATATAATTTCCACCATTAGTTTGTCTTTTACGCCCTATGGAATCTGTTACATCACAGTCGTTGGCGTTTTATATTTTCTCATCACGGAACGGACAGAAGAGAATTTAATAGTCCTGCTTTACGTTGTAAATACAACTGATACCTTGTATATTGTAAAACTGATATATTTAAGATATGTGCAAATATGTTTTCTGTGCTATATTCAAAGTACACCCATAGTGTCTCGGCGTTGACAATGGAGGGTTTATACGGCGAAAATATCGCAAGTAATGTTGATAACGTTTCTTCCATTTTCCAAATATGTAAGAGTGCGGATTTTCTTGATAAAAAGGCCAAATTTGTTAATTTCATTTATGCGAAATGATATATAATCAATATTTAATATTTAATTGGTGGATACTTATTTATATATCTTCTTTACAGTTTTCGGAAACGGTAATTTATAACCTTCGAGAGATGAGAAACATACAGCAAAATGGCCTGATTCAGTGGCATGTTACAAGTTACATCTCAGTATCGCGATAAAATATGTATAGTTGCAGCGACGCTCTACACTGAAAATAAGCTGTTTATCACTTCATTGTAAGTAGATATGTGATAGACGTGTCCTCTATTTAGGAAACAGTTAGGCTTAAAGTGTAATAACCACTACATATACACAGTGTCCTCAGGATACACAGTGTCCTCCTGGGAACTGGGGTGAGGGTTCAGGTAAGAATTACTCCCCAGCAACGTGCGCCACCAGTCAGTCACTCGCAGAGCTTGATCAGCCAATCTAGCTTAACACGGCTCTTGCCACCAGCATGTTGTACCTGTGACCTACTCTAGATTTCACCCTAAGAGGGTACTAAGTAGAGAGGTGGGGTGAAATGGGGTTTAACGTCGCGTTGAAGATTATTATCGCGACGTGCATGCAGTGTGTGTGAGGCTGTCTAGTCCAGACTGATGTCGGTTTTATAGTGCTAACCCACTGAGATGCCATGCCGCAGTATAACATGGATACCCCACTCAGACACAGTATACTGACTCCGAGTCGACTAGTTCTTGTGTTAGCCCCTTAATGCCGAGCGCCATGCAGGGTAACAACAAATACCATGTTTGACGTCTTTTGGTATAATGCGCCCAGGGCCCCGTTGCACAAAGCGATCTTAACGCTGCGATTATCGTAAGTCTATGTTAAAAGTATGGGAGTTATGACAGTCTTAGTGCTAAGACTGCTTTGTGCAACGGGGCCAATGATCGAACCACCGCACTCCAGGCGCAATTAACAAGACCACGGAAGCGGTACTCAGTGAGTGAGTGGATTAGTGAGTGTGTGAGAGAGTAAGTGAGTGAGGAATATCGCTGTGGATATCACCAGTCAGCGATAGAAACGAATGGATATAGTAAAATGAGTTAATGCTACAATCTGCTTGAAAAATGTTATTAAATGGGATTGCATCTTTCAGACTCTTGATAACAATCGGTTTTCTCTCAATCCAAAATTAGAAAAGTACGTGCCATTCAGCTTGGCTAGATGGATATCACTTCACAAGTTGGATCGATATTCATCAAAACAGCTTTGTTCTCATTTTACTAACCAGGTGGGTTCAGTTGTCACATTCGTTGTATCGTGACGTCCTAGCATCCCAGCGTGACGTCATGTCTGTCGCACAACTTTGAGAGTTTCTGAGAGGGTGCTCCTGATAACCTTTCTATTTCAACGTGTTAATGAACACTTACGCCGTCGGTTCCGAGTGAAATTTCCGGGCATCAAATACTTATGGTAGCCGAGAGGGGACATCGCTTTCGCGCTTTCTCAATTCTCGCCTTCTCGCTCTATCGCTTTCTCGCATTTTTGCTTTCCCGCCTTTCTCGCGGTAAGGCAATATCCCCTGTTGACCACAATAAGGGTCGCATGTGTTATCTGTTTCAATTGGGAGGGGATATTAAAATTTTCTCACAATTTACTGGCACATTTTTTAACTGTACAGACGTAGGTGATATTAAAACAGAAAGAAATAGTTTATGTATGTGTCACGCTTTACATAAGCTGTATCAATACAGAAAATGGACATATAATTGAGATACCATAGAAAGCCTACTTGTTTCGTAAAAACGAGAATGTGTGTTGTTTTCTCAATGTCCCCTCTAGGCCACCATCAATATTCAATAACACCCGCAAATCTGAAGACACATACTGTTTACCCCCAAAATCGTGACTGAAAGTCAGGCATTGGCACTCGACGGGTCACGATCTGTACACAAAACCCTTTTAAGTTGTCCTCGGTAAATGTCAGAAGACGAGCGGGGGCATGGGTGGCCCAGTCGTCTAAGCCGCCGCGATTCGCTGTGCAGAGTTGCGTCCCTTGGGCACGCCAGAAACCTATGATTGTGGGTTCGAATCCCGATTCGCCCCGATTATGTTTCTAGGTTTGTCAGCACCATACCCGTACTCGTGGGTTTCACCGAAGTGGTAAACGTCTGAGACCTGCATCACTTCTGACTTTCCTCCCACATTAAGCTGACACGCCGCGATATAACTGGAATACTGTTAAAATCGGCGTTAAACCCAACTCACTCACACACACTCAGAAGACGAGCACATACCACGTGATCTCACCTAACACACGACTGTCAAAGAAAGTCACCTTAATGGCCTTAAATATAGTGCCGATTACAAGTGCTTGTCCCTCCCTGTTGGTCGGTGTAAGTGCACATGTCATCGGATCAATTGTCACATTCAGACATCCTCATACATTGCCTAGGTCATTCTATAAAGTACATATGTATTCTCCTTACAATCTATGGTGGCCGGGAACAGCGCTTTCTCGTCTCATGTTATCGCTTTCTCGTCTCGGGTTATCGCTTTCTCGTCTCATGTTATCCGTTTCTCGTCTCGTGTTATCGCTTTCTCGTCTTGAGTTATCTCTTTCTCGTCTTGAGTTATCTCTTTCTCGTCTCGTGTTATCGCTTTCTCGTCTCATGTTATCGCTTTCTCGTCTCGTGTTATCGCTTTCTCGTCTTGAGTTATCTCTTTCTCGTCTCGTGTTATCGCTTTCTCGTCTCATGTTATCGCTTTCTCGTCTCATGTTATCGCTTTCTCGTCTCATGTTATCGCTTTCTCGTCTTGAGTTATCTCTTTCTCGTCTTGAGTTATCTCTTTCTCGTCTCGTGTTATCGCTTTCTCGTCTCATGTTATCGCTTTCTCGTCTCATGTTATCGCTTTCTCGTCTCATATTATCGCTTTCTCGTCTTGAGTTATCTCTTTCTCGTCTTGAGTTATCTCTTTCTCGTCTCATGTTATCACTTTCTCGTCTCGTGTTATCGCTTTCTCTTCTCATGTTATCGCTTTCTCGTCTTGAGTTATCTCTTTCTCGTCTCGTGTTATCGCTTTCTCGTCTCGTGTTATCGCCTTCTCGTCTCATGTTATCGCTTTCTCGTCTCATGTTATCGCTTTCTCGTCTTGAGTTATCTCTTTCTCGTCTTGAGTTATCTCCCCTTAACGTATGTGACTAGAGGCTAGAATACTGACAGGGTACTGCCCTATGCAGGACATCGTTGACAGACTGTTCTTGCAGACACGGCCGTCGTACCTCCCATAATTCTACAAGCTAGTGTCGGATCTACGACAAGTGAGTGACTCGTGCTGAACGCCGCTTTGAACGGCATTTCAGTTATACCACGGTCTATCAGAGCTGTGTCTGAGAAAAGCCCGAAGTGATAAATGTCTTTGATGTATACTACTTTGGGAACCCGTGAAGAGCCGGGTTAGAATTGCTCTTAAGCAACCCATGCTTGTCGTAAGAGGCGACCAAAAGGATCGGGTTGTCAGGCTCGCTGACTTGGTTGATGACTGTCTTCGTATTCCAATTGCTTAGATCAATGCTCATTATATTTATCACTGGATCGTCTTGCCCAGACTCAATTATTTAGAGACGGCCGTCATATAACTGGAATATTGCTCAGTGCGGCATTAAACAACATACAAACAAAAACACACTTATTAGTATCGATAAACCGGCTCTGTGGTGTAGTCGACAGAGTGTTTGCCCAGGTGATTAGATCCCCCGCCCGCGTCACACCGAAAGATCTTTAAAAGATGGCACTTGTTGTTACTCTGCCTGCCGTTCGGCACTAAGGAGATAAAACAATGTCTGAACGACTCGGGGTCAGTATAAAGTATCCGAGTAGGTTATAAAAATGCGCCGTTGTATGTCAGTGAGCTTTAAAACCGACATTGAACCGGACTAGCAGACAGGATAACAAACACAAGTGCCTGCACGTCTCAATATGGGTGCGTGACCGCCCCCGTGATCTAGTGGTAGAGCGTCCGCCCGGAGAGCGGAAGGTCCGGGCTTCGATCCCCGGCCGCGTCATACCAAAAGACGTTAAAAGAGGGCACTTGTTGTTACCCTGTCTTGCGCTCGGCATTAAGGGGCTAAAACGAGGACTGGTCGTCTCGGAGTCAGTATACTGCGGCATGGTATCTCAGTGGGCTATCACTATAAAATCGGCATCGCTCCGGACAAGCACACACACACACACACACACGCATGCACGCACGCACGCACACACACGCACACGCACACGCACACGCACACATACACACGTGTATTTGTGCTATAATCTTGGACACGACGTTTAACCTCATTTCACCTCACCGCAATATGGGTGAAATAATCTTGAACCTCATTTGATCTCACCCAACTTACCTGAAAACCTCGAGCAATAATTGGACAATCATAGGTTTTGGGCACGCCTAAGCTACACAGCTCTGTGCAGCTAATTGCGGTGCCTCCTACTTGAACAAGGACTTGTCCAGGGTGAACATGGAGAGGAGTCAGTTGCAGGACGTAAAGTCAACGGTAGGAACAACAGACATATCGTAACAGTGTAAACTTCATAAAGATACCCGCTGCAACGTTGATTAGACCGACCATTTGATATTCGGAGGGGGTTGTTGGGTGGGGGGTTGTTGTCGGCGGGGGGAGCGTGGATTTTGTAACAATGTCATTTTGTGGTAGGGAATCTTCAAGAATCTGAAGCATAATTATCTTTAACAAGAACATTCGGGGAAAATTTATATTTTTTGATAAAATCCCATCACTATACCCCCATCCCCTACCCCCCACAATGGTTAAGTGTCATTGAGAAAATATCCCAAAACGTGAAAACTATTTCCATTTGATATGTATCCTTTGTTTGTACGGCTCCATGTGCTATCGTCGAAGCCCAATGAAGAGCTATATGGTCACTTTAACCTATAAAGATAGAATTGTCATGCTCCTCACTGATGCAGTTGCAGAAGCATATGCATATTATTAAGCTAAACGATATCTAAAACCCATTGAAAGGTGTCCATTTGGCCGGCCAGCTCTCTGTTTCAGAATGAACGCGTTTGTTGACAAACAAGACAAGAGTCCGGTCACGATAAATGCAAATCAGCTTGTCGCAGTGATGAAATGCCAAGTCATAACTGCGCAGGAGTGTTAACTGACCAGAGTTACCTCCCCTCCCCAAATTACTTCGAAGCATATTAACTAATAAACAATGCATACTGTCTTTATTCAAATATATTGTATCTTTACTGCCAAAGTACACGGCCTTCACACCCCTCACCCCCGTTCCACTATGTCTATAACAAGAATATAACAATGGGACAATCAAGTAGGGTTCGGTATTTGGGTTGATTTGACCTCCATTGTGTCTCTACAATGAGGCCTATCAGCATATGGTTTACCCTGATAGTGCAGGAGTACAATCACAACGAGTTGTTGCTCAGGCTTCAGGTTACACACAACCAAATGTTTACCAATAGACTACTATAGTCACTTTATAAAAAAAACATAACTAAGCATTCAACAGTTATTACATGTGCATGTGTGCGCAGTATGGCCTCAAAGCTGCAATAAAAACAAAAACAATGACTAGCTTAGCCAGCTCCAGGAATAGTACAGGAAGCTAAACACTCCAGCTATAGTTCCGCACCAAATGTCACTTGCTTGAAAATATCTGTCCTCACATTCAGTAAGAGTCATCATGTAAAAAAAGACAGCCCTAAATAGAGAAAAACAAAGTCAGTTTTAATTACTGGATAGTTAGAACGCATAATAATCTTTCAATCACAGTTGCCAGATGATTCAATCTGCACTGAAGACGAAAACTGCTTGTTGAAGGACCGACTTGTGAGTTTGGGTGTATAGTGTTTCGGGTGATATTTCAGCAAAATCATTTAATTAACGGTCTCTAAGGAGCTTGTGACTTTGGGTGTATGATGTCTTCATTGATATTGCAGCAATATCGGGACAGGTGACACACATTTAACCTATTTAGATTGTCAGCGTGGTAACTAAGGCCGGCCCCTATATCGAGTCAGCAATGTCAATTGTCCTACTTTACAGTGGTAGCAGTCAATGTTCACGTATAGATTGAGAACGGGAGACCCAACGATCCAAGCCACCGACATTCGCTGTGCAGTCCCTTAGAGGTGGACATCTTCCCAAGGCAAGGGAGTTACCTACCTATAAAAGTCCAGATTCCACCCTTGCCGAACTAGGCTGGAATTTATGGGCTCGCTTTGTAGCGCCACAAGTGGCTATTACGAGTTATGTTCCTTCTACGACCCTTCTATCACTTGCATTTGCTTCAAGCATAATGGCGGCCCCCAGTCAAGACGATTTCATCGATAATAAAGATCTTTATTGTAAGTTAACGTGTCTTACCTCGCGAAGTGCATCATATCACTTGAGCACCAGGATTAAAAACCTTAAAAGATTTGCAAAATATGTAGCGACGCCCTTTTGACGGTATACATGCTCTGCAAATCCTGCAATTCAACTAATTCCGCAGTTGCCTTGTTGTTTATGAAGCGGATGTCGATATTGTTACGGGATTTTGATTGGATTATGCATAGACTCATTAGTCCAGCCAAACTATAACTCCATTATTCCAGCCTAGTTCGACAAGGGTAAAAACTGAATATTTAAATCCAGTTAACTCCCTTGACTCTGGAAGATGGCGGCGGAGGGTTTGACAGATCATACCTACGTTCGCGGATTTCACCCAAAAGGTAAAATCTTCTTTGATTTCACCAAAGTAGAAAACGTCTGAGATATGCAGCATCACTTCCGGCTTTCCTTCCGCGTCAAGCTGATAGGCCGTGATATAAGTGTTTAATATACATACTGTTCAATGCTGTAATATTTAACCGCCGATACTCACTCACCATTTATATATTTTCAGTTTTCGAGGGCCTATCATGATATCATCAGCCATCAAATGAGGAGAATACGGCTTAAGCTAGCATGGTGTGCGTGGTTGGGCTTGATCACCTTCCTTGCGCTGTGGGCGATGGTGACGGGGTTCCGTCTTCTCTTCTGTGGACAAGACGACACGAAGCGAATAGTGAACTTCTTCAGCATGGACAGAGACCTATTTCTAAACTTACATCAATATCAATTCATTCTAAATGCTGACGTTGTTGACGTTGATGTAGTGACTGTTGTCCACTCAAACCCGTCTCACGTGACCAGAAGAACAGAAATCCGCAAAACCTTCGGCTCTGTGAGGTATTTTAAAGGGGTCACATCCGCAACTGTTTTTATGCTTGGCCTTGTGACGAACCAGCACCTCCAACAGCAGCTCCAGCAAGAAGCCTCCACCTACGGGGACATGGTCCAGGGGAACTTCATCGACCACTACCAGAACGTGACCCACAAACACGTGATGGCGATGCACTGGGTGGGCGGACACTGCAACCGCGCCAAGGTCATTGTAAAGATGGACGATGACGTCATCGTCAACCCATACAATCTCGTCAACTACATCAAAACGACGATGCTACCAAACGATACGATTCACTGCAGCGTTCGAACTAAAGGCATTCCTGAGAGGAGGGAGGGGGAAATTGGGTATATACCTATTGAGCACTACCCCTTCCCTGTGCTCCCTGACCACTGCACAGGATTTGCCTACATCACCACACCACATGCCTACCGGAAGTTGTGTGACGCGTCACGTGACTCGCGTTACCTCCGCAATGATGGCGTATACGCGACAGGTGTCCTTGCACTGCAGGCACATGTTCGAAGACGTCACATGGGCGATAAATACATTGTGTCACGCTGCAGAGCTAAAGAAAATAGGCAGCACGTGCTTAACGACGCCATTTTTGTTTTGAACAAGAAAGGTCAGTGTGGTGATTTTTATGAACTATGGCGTCATATACAACGGAATAAACACTGATGTTGGCGATTTTGTTTTCAATGGCATTTAGAAGTTGGAAGAACACGTGAGTTTTGTGTGTGTGCGCGGATAATGTTTGTTTCTTGCCAGGAAATATCGAGATCGTTGATGGAGTTTTCCGTAGAGGGCAGATTTCAAATGAGATATGGCTATGGGGCGTACTGTGCCTTGTATAGTTTTATGTTTATCGTTCGAAACACTGATTGTCTTTGTGTGAAAAATATAGATATTTAAAGAAAACATTGGTGTAACTTGTTGGTCTTATTTCTTTAAATCTAATTGAAAATTCCAATAATAGATTTTTTTTCGATCTAAGTACAACGAAGGTCTGTTTCATTTAATACAAATTTTGACATGATAAGAAGTCAAATTAGAAGTATTAGCATCAACACATATTCAGATACAATGAAACCGTGTTAATCCGGGTGTTATCGTCCAGATTAACCAAGTTCCGCATTAACGAACATAGATGTGTAAAAATGTCCTGAACGTCGATCTACGCAACTGGGTGACATGCGTAAACCAAATCAGCGAGCCTGACCACCCGATCCCGTTAGTCACCTCTTGCGACAATCATAGTCGCGTCTTGAGACAAGCATGGGTTGCTGAAGAGCAATTCTAACCCATTTCTTCACTGGTTCCCAAACCAGTAAACATCAAAGACATTTAGCAATTCGGGATTTTCTCAAACACCACTCTGACACGCCATGGTAATCAGTTCCCAACAGTATTCTCCCAAAAGGCGAGGATTTCGGACAAAGAAGGGCAAGACTAATTTTTGACATTTATTTATATAAGAATTCTCGGCATCATGATCACCAGAGTGAGTGAGTGAGTATTGTTTTACGCCGCTTTTAGCAATATTCCAGCAATATCACGGCGGGGGACACCAGAAATGGGCTTCACACATTGTACCCATGTCGGGAATCGAACCCGGGTCTTCGATGTGAAGAGCTAACGCTTTGACCACTAGGCTACCCGAGCGCCCCTGATCAGCAGAGAGCCTTCATGGCAGGACAGGGGGCACGGGTGGCCCAATCGTCTAAGGCGCCGCGATTCGCTGTGCAGAGTTGCGTCCCTTCGACACGCCAGAAACCTATGATTGTGGGTTCGAATCCCGATTCGCCCCGATTATGTTTCTAGGTTTGTCAGCACCATACCCGTGCTCGTGGGTTTCATCGAAGTGGTAAACGTCTGAGACCTGCATCACTTCGTGCTTTTCTGCTACATTTAGCTGACACGCCGCGATATAACTGCAATACTGTTAAAAGCGGCGTTAAACCCAACTCACTCACTCACTCACTCACTCATGGTAGGACAGGTGATTTGCTATCCACTCTAACTAACGAGATAAAACACACGACTCACCATACATTAAATATATATACTACTCAAAAGAAGTGAAAGAACACCCGATGTTTCTATATGACTGTAGTTAATCTGTCATGTCATGTCACGACAGATTAACTGTAGACATATAAAAAATAACGAGTGTTGTTTCATTTCTTTTGAATAGTATATTATATCAACCACCGTACATTGATAGATCGGCATATAGTTCAAAGGCCCGCAAGTCCTGGCATGTTGGTTGGGGGCATTCAAACATCATTTAGTTGGTTTGCTGACCTAGTTCAGCGGTGTGTCCCCTTGGGAATTTTTGGTTTGAACTGGTCCCTAGCAACGTCAGATTGTCGTAGGAGGCGACTTATCGGAAGGGTCGTCGGGCTCGGTGACTTGATTGATTGCATGTCATTGTAGCATGACAGCGTGGACCTTTCCTTCTAATATCATTTAATCACTGGGGCGGTGAGGTAGCCTAGTGGTTAAAGCGTTCGCTCGTAAACCGGGTTCGATTCCCGACATGGGTACAATGAGTGAAGCCCATTTCTGTTGTCCCCCGCCGTGGTATTGCAGGAATATTGCTAAAAGTGGCGTAAAACAATACTCACTCGCTCACTCATTCAGTCACTGGTCTGTGTGGTCAAGACACGACAATTTACACCTACTCTACTGTTGGCGTACTTACTCACCTGCGGTAATCTATCTGAGGACGATACTAGCTGAGGTGAGGTGAAATGGGGTTTAACGTCGCGTCCAAGAATATTGCACGTATATAGCGACGAGCGTGTACGTGTGTGTGTTTGTGTGGCTGCTTGTACTAGTCCGGACTGATGCCGATTTATAGTGCTAGCTCACTGAGATACCATGCCGAAGTTTAACATGAATACCCCACTCAGACACAGTCTACTGACTCCGAGCCGACCAGTCCTTGTTTTAGCCCCTTAATGCCGAGCGCCAGACAGGGTAACAACAAGTACCATCCTTTAACGTCTTTTGGTATGACGCGGTCGGGGATCGAACCCCGGACCTTCCGCTCTCCACTAGACCACGGAGGCTGTCCGATACTAGCTGAGAAATCGTATCCATGTATTCTGTTTTCACTATTCGACATCCATTTATTGTCAATACATAGCTACGATTCACTCCATCATAACGTTCTTCTAATAAGTTCTCATTTTGAATCCTTGAGATGTTCCGAGTTAAATTACATAATATCGTGAAACACTTTTATACCCACTTGTTTCCAAACTATTTAGTTCTAAGTGCACCAAATATTTTGATTGAAAATGTATTTGATCAAATGTTATAAATCTGTAAACACGGAGTCGAGTTTACTGCCATGGCTGTAGTCGAAAAAGTAACAACTGTCGAAGCGGTATTAAATCCTGCCGTATGTACTCACAGGTGATCGAGAAACCAAGAGTATACAGAACCTGTGACGTATCGACGAACCTAAGAACGTTAATAACACGGTTTCTGATAACAGCATACCTGTAAGACAGGACGTCTCTAAACAGGGCGTGACTTAACGTTGTACAAAGCGATCTCAACACTAAGGTGATCGAAACTCACATAACTTAACATAGACTTACGACAGTCGTAGTGCTGAGTTTGTGTTACAGAGACACATATGTTAAGGTATGGGAGTTACGATCGGGTGCCATTGTACAACACAACCTTAGCGCTACGTCTGTCGTAAGTCTATGTTAAGGTATGGGAGTTACGATCGGGTGCCATTGTACAACACAACCTTAGCGCTACGACTGTCGTAAGTCTATGTTAAGGTATGGGAGTTACGATCGGGTGCCATTGTACAACACAACCTTAGCGCTACGACTGTCGTAAGTCTATGTTAAGGTATGGGAGTTACGATCGGGTGCCATTGTACAACACAACCTTAGCGCTACGACTGTCGTAAGTCTATGTTAAGGTATGGGAGTTACGATCGGGTGCCATTGTACAACACAACCTTAGCGCTACGACTGTCGTAAGTCTATGTTAAGGTATGGTAGTTACGATCGGGTGCCGTTGTACAACACAACCTTAGCGCTACGACTGTCGTAAGTCTATGTTAAGGTATGGTAGTTACGATCACCTTAGCGCTAAGATCGCTTTGTACAGCGACACCCACGTTTCTGCTACTAACTTTAGGTTCTTATCAAAACTAGAGTGAGTGAATGTGTGAGTGTGGGCTTATAAGTGTTCACAATCAAGACGGATCTTGGATTCGAACCCACTATCAGTCGTCAGGCAAGGCTAGGGGCACACCTCTATACACTTTTTGTGTAACCAGGAGCACAGATATGGCGCTGGCAAAGGTGCGACGCGGGGGTGCAATTCGCATCTAGTCCTCCTAAATCACCACTAATATAGAAGATAACATTGTTTGCAGTGTTAGTTTAATCAACTTTGTATAAGCTTGGGCTACAACGAATGTAATCTCATTATAATCTGAACACAACTCCATATAAGGACGCGTCAGGTCAACCCTAGCGAACTATAACAGCCCAATCAAAATGAATGATACGTGGGTTGTGAGCCAATCAGATGTCAGCTTTCTGAAACGATTCGGTTTCATTTCTGTACCTTGACTCGATCATAGCAAAACAGTGATATATCCTCGAAACAACTCCTTTGGGTGGATGCTGTGGCCCTCAGAAATGACAGGATGTTTCATGTCTGAATGCTCACTCGTACTGAAAATTAAGAGGGCTCAACGCTAATTGGATGAATAGAAAATTCTCGTGACGAGACTTGAGGTGTTCTGAGATCTTCATGCAACAGAGAGGTGTCGTATCGGAGTAAAAGAACTGATTTTGATAACACTGAGAAGAAAAAGCAAAATCCATTCGTGTGTGTGTGTGTGTGTGTGTGTGTGTGTGTGTGTGTGTGTGTGTGTGTGTGTGTGTGTGTGTGTGTGTGTGTGTGTGTGTGTGTGTGTGTGTGTGTGTGTGTGTGTGTGTGTGCGTATATACTTTATACTTTATGATTTTTTAACAGTGTGTATATATATATATACTGTTAAATAATCTTAAAGTATAAAGTCCGGAGGATATTCTGTTAGGAGGACAACAACATCCAGGACACCGGTAAACATAAACCTTCAGGCACAAAGATGCTGAAGCTTCAGGATTATATTTATTTACCATAATTCTCACATAAACTAACAAAGATCACCGAGATTCATAATTACATAATTTTACTTTATATACTCAGAAAATATAGATGAGAAATTATGCTCACAATATGTAAATCACAATGCCAATCTGTTTTCAACAATGCAGCAATGAGTCATATTGCTTCCATCCAGCATATTGCCTCATCATCAGCTTGGAGAGGGTGCAGATGTTGGAAAGATATTAAGCTCGAGTGAGTGAGTTTGGTTAAAAGCCGTTTTGAACAATATTTCATTTTATCATGGCGTGTCATGTTGATGTGGGGCGAAAGTCTTAGATGTTAACAACTTTGGTGAAACCCACGAGCAGGGGTATGATGCTGACAAACCAAGCATCATAATCAGGGGAAGTCTGGGATTCAAACCCATGATCAAAATGGAACGCCTAAGGGACGCAACTCTGCACAGAGAATCGCAGTACATCAGAGGCCGCCCTAGACTTGAAGCTGACACTGTTTCCAACATGAATAGTATATAGTTTATACATAAAA